TGCTGTAAGCCGTTCATATAGGGAGTCACCCCTTGTACTGACAGCTTCATAAGTTAGATAGGTTAGGTAGGAGGTCCCTGACCCTTGTACTGACATGCTTCACAAGCCGTAATAGTAGGTTAGATAGGGAGGTATTCCCTGACGCTTGTACTGACATGCTTCATGGTCGTCACGGTAGGTTAGATAGGGAGGTATTCCCTGACACTGTACTGACATGCTTCACAAGTCGTCATAGAAGGTTATATAGGGGAGGTATTCCCTGACCCTTGTACTGACATGCTTCATAAGTCGTCATAGTAGGTTAGACAGGGAGGTAGTTCCTGACCCTTGTACTGACATGCTTCATAAGCCGTCACAGTAGGTTAGACAGGAGGTATTCCCGACACTTATACTGACATGCTTCATAAGCTACCGTCATAGTAGGGTTATATAGGGAGGTAGTCCCTGACCCTTGTACTGACATGCTTCATAAGTCGTCACAGTAGGTTAGACAGGGAGGTATTCCCTGACCCTTGTACTGACATGCTTCATAAGCCGTCACGGTAGGTTAGATAGGGAGGTATTCCCTGACCCTTGTACTGACATGCTTCATAAGTCGTCACAGTAGGTTAGATAGGGAGGTATTCCCTGACCCTTGTACTGACATGCTTCATAAGTCGTCGCCAAGTAGGTTAGATAGGTATTCCCGGTAGGTTACTGACATGCTTCATAAGAGGTATTCCCAGAGGTATTCCCTTTGTACTGACATGCTTCATAAAGCCGTCACAGTAGGTTAGATAGGGAGGTATTCCCTGACACTTGTACTGACATGCTTCATAAGCCGTCATAGTAGGTTAGATAGGGAGGTATTCCCTGACCCTTGTACTGACATGCTTCATAAGTCGTCATAGTAGGTTAGATAGGGAGGTATTCCCTGACCCTTGTACTGACATGCTTCATAAGTCGTCATAGTAGGTTAGATAGGAGGTATTCCTGACCCTTGTACTGACATGCTTCATAAGTTAGATCATAGTGGTTAGATAGGAGGTATTCCTGACCCTTGTACTGACATGCTTCATAAGCCATAATAGTTAGGTCAGACAGGGAGGTATTCCCTGACCCTTGTACTGACATGCTTCATGTCGGCCGTCACAGTAGGTTAGATAGGAGGTATTCCCTGACCCTTGTACTGACATGCTTCATAAGCCGTCATAGTAGGTTATATAGGGAGGTATTCCCTGACCCTTGTACTGACATGCTTCATAAGTCGTCATGGTAGGTTATATAAGGAGGAATTCCCCTGACCCTTGTACTGACATGCTTGACAGCCGTCACAGTAGGTTAGATAGGAGGTATTCCCTTGTACTGACATGCTTCATAAGTCGTCACACGGTAGGTTAGATAGGGAGGTATTCCCTGACACCTTGTACTGACATCCTTCATAAGCTTAGTCATAGAAGGTTATATAGGGAGGTAGTCCCTGACCCTTGTACTGACATGCTTCATAAGCCATAATAGTGGGTCAGACAGGGAGGTAGTTCCTGACCCTTGTACTGACATGCTTCATAAGCCGTCACAGTAGGTTAGACAGGGAGGTATTCCCTGACACTTATACTGACATGCTTCATAAGCCGTCATAGAAGGTTATATAGGGAGGTAGTCCCTGACCCTTGTACTGACATGCTTCATAAGCCGTCACAGTAGGTTAGACAGCGAGGTATTCCCTGACCCTTGTACTGACATGCTTCATAAATCGTCACGATGTAGGTTAGACAGGGAAGGTATTCCTGACACTATACTGACATGCTTCATGGTTTAGATAGGGAGGTATTCCCTGACCCTTGTACTGACATGCTTCATAAGTCGTCACGTAGGTTAGATAGGGAGGTATTCCCTGACCCTTGTACTGACATGCTTCATGTCGTCGTCATGGTAGGTTAGATAGGGAGGTATTCCCTGACACTTATACTGACATGCTTCATAAGCCGTCACGGTAGGTTAGATAGGGAGGTATTCCCTGACCCTTGTACTGACATGCTTCATAAGTCGTCACGGTAGGTTAGATAGGGAGGTATTCCCTGACCCTTGTTCTGACATGCTTCATAGTCGTCATCAGTAGGTTAGATAGGAGGTATTCCCTGACCCTTGTACTGACATAGCCGTCAAATTAGATCGCCATGGTAGGTTAGATAGGGAGGTATTCCCTGACCCTTGCACTGACATGCTTCATAAGTCGTCACAGTAGGTTAGATAGGGAGGTATTCCCTGACCCTTGTACTGACATGCTTCATAAGTCGTCATGGTAGGTCAGATAGGGAGGTATTCCCTGACCCTTGTACTGACATGCTTCATAAGTCGTCCACGGTAGGTTAGATAGGAGGGTATTCCTGACCCTTGTACTGACATGCTTCATAAGTCGTAGATCACAGTAGGTTAGATAGGAGGTATTTCCTGATCCTTGTACTGACATGCTTCATAAGCCATAATAGTGGGTCAGACAGGGAGGTAGTTCCTGACCCTTGTACTGACATGCTTCATAAGTCGTCACAGTAGGTTAGACAGGAGGTATTCCTGATCCTTGTACTGACATGCTTCATAAGTCAGTCATAGAAGGTTATATAGGAGGTATTCCCTGACCCTTGTACTGACATGCTTCATAAGTCGTCATGGTAGGTTATATAGGGAGGTATTTCCTGACCCTTGTACTGACATGCTTGACAGCCGTCAAGTAGGTTAGATAGGGAGGTATTCCTGACGCTTGTACTGACATGCTTCATGAGTTCAGATAGGTTAGATAGGAGGTTTCCCTGACACTTGTACTGACATGCTTCATAAGTCGTCATAGAAGGTTATATAGGAGAGTAGTCCCTGACCCTTGTACTGACATGCTTCATAAGTCATAATAGTGGGTTAGACAGGGAGGTAGTTCCTGACCCTTGTACTGACATGCTTCATAAGCCGTCACAGTAGGTTAGACAGGGAGGTATTCCCTGACACTTATACTGACATGCTTCATAAGCCGTCATAGAAGGTTATATAGGGAGGTAGTCCCTGACCCTTGTACTGACATGCTTCATAAGCCGTCACAGTAGGTTAGACAGCGAGGTATTCCCTGACCCTTGTACTGACATGCTTCATAAGTCGTCACGGTAGGTTAGACAGCGAGGTATTCCCTGACACTTATACTGACATGCTTCATAAGCCGTTACAGTAGGTTAGATAGGGAGGTATTCCCTGACCCTTGTACTGACATGCTTGACAGCCGTCACAGTAGGTTAGATAGGGAGGTATTCCCTGACCCTTGTACTGACATGCTTCATAAGTCGTCACAGTAGGTTAGACAGGGAGGTATTCCCTGACCCTTGTACTGACATGCTTCATAAGCCCGTCACAGTAGGTTGTGACAGAGAGGTATTCCCTGACACTTGTACTGACATGCTTCATAAGCCGTCATAGTAGGTTAGATAGGGAGGTATTCCCTGACCCTTGTACTGACATGCTTCATAAGTCGTCACGGTAGGTTAGACAGGGAGGTATTCCCTGACCCTTGTACTGACATGCTTCATAAGCCGTCATAGTAGGTTATATAGGGAGGTATTCCCTGACACTTATACTGACATGCTTCATAAGCCGTCACAGTAGGTTAGATAGGGAGGTATTCCCTGACAGTTATACTGACATGCTTCATAAGTCGTCACGGTAGGTTAGACAGGGAGGTATTCCCTGACAGTTATACTGACATGCTTCATAAGTCGTCACGGTAGGTTAGATAGGGAGGTAGTCCCTGACAGTTATACTGACATGCTTCATAAGTCGTCACGGTAGGTTATATAGGGAGGTATTCCCTGACACTTATACTGACATGCTTCATAAGCCGTCACAGTAGGTTAGATAGGGAGGTATTTCCTGACAGTTATACTGACATGCTTCATAAGTCGTCCGCAGGTTAGACAGGAGGTATTCCCTGGCAGTTATACTGACATGCTTCATAAGTCGTCCACGGTAGGTTAGATAGGGAGGTAGTCCCCTGACAGTTATACTGACATGCTTCATAAGTCGGAGTCACGGTAGGTTAGATAGGGAGGTATTCCCTGACCCTTGTACTGACATGCTTCATAAGTCGCCACAATAGTAGGTTAGACAGGGAGGTATTCCTGACCCTTGTACTGACATGCTTCATAAGCCGTCCTAGTAGGTTAGACAGGGAGGTATTCCCTGACCCTTGTACTGACATGCTTCATAAGCCGTCATAGTAGGTTATATAGGGAGGTATTCCTGATCCTTGTACTGACATGCTTCATAAGCCGTCATAGTAGGTTAGACAGGGAGGTATTCCCTGACCCTTGTACTGACATGCTTCATAAGCCGTCATAGTAGGTTAGATAGGGAGGTATTCCCTGACAGTTATACTGACATGCTTCATAAGTCGTCACGGTAGGTTAGATAGGGAGGTATTCCCTGACCGTTGTACTGACATGCTTCATAAGCCATAATAGTGGGTCAGACAGGGAGGTATTCCCTGACCCTTGCACTGACATGCTTCACAAGTCGTCAAAGTAGGTAAGATAGGGAGGTATTCCCTGACCCTTGCACTGACATGCTTCACAAGTCGTCAAAGTAGGTTAGATAGGGAGGTATTCCCTGACCCTTGTACTGACATGCTTCATAAGTCGTCACGGTAGGTTAGATAGGGAGGTATTCCCTGACCCTTGTACTGACATGCTTCATAAGCCATAATAGTGGGTCAGACAGGGAGGTATTCCCTGACCCTTGCACTGACATGCTTCACAAGTCGTCAAAGTAGGTTAGATAGGGAGGTATTCCCTGACCCTTGTACTGACATGCTTCACAAGTAGTCATAGTAGGTTAGATAGGGAGGTATTCCCTGACCCTTGCACTGACATGCTTCATAAGCTGTCACAGTAGGTTAGATAGGGAGGTATTCCCTTACTGGTATGCTTGACTAGCCGTCATAGCAGGTTAGATAGGGAGGTATTCCCTTACCCTTGCACTGACATGCTTCATAAGCCATCATAGAAGCAGAGCTGCAGATAACTTTTTGGGTCATTGAGTTATGTACTCGCTTGTGTTCATCTCAGTTGGGAATCCTAATTTTCCTTTGAGTAACCAAGTAAGTTGTACCCACTTCACTCAAACTCAACTGTGTATTTTGCCAATTTCCATTAGTTGTAAAAATATAATAAAGTTTAATTATTGGTTTACGTGTTTGTTATATATATTTTATCTGTAATATGAGGAGCGATAAGAGCGACTCAAGTTCATGTGTTGAAATAGAACTTCTCAATATACCTCAATTATGTTATCTATCTACCCGGTATGCAAGCTAGGATTTGACATTTTTGTGTGTACAAATGTAATTGTAGTATTCACAAAATTCAAGCATACTTGTATGCAATAGACGATGATAAAATTGGGGTTTTACATAAATATTTATTCGTAATTCACACAGATACACAGCTTATCTGTACCTCTGTGGTAGGCTAGAAAGTGTGGCATTCAATGAACCATGCCCTTTCATGTGTCACAAGCCATCACAGAAAGCATGATAGGAAGGACGATATTCCATGAACCTTGTACCCGCATGTTACACAAGCCATTGTATTTGTTCAGATATATAGAGGTATCTTAGCGATAGCTTGGTGCATATCAGCCCAATCATAGCTGGTCCCCTTTAAAACCTTGGTGTAAGAAATATATGTTTACCTCCAGCATTTCGGGGAAGATAAGAACATTTTTTATTGACATAGTGGTAAGAGCTATTAATAGTTCATACATCAATACCAAGAGCTACAACAAATTGACACATGCCAGTGTTTCCTATCACGTACCCACCCCCCAGAGTACATACCTGTACAACATATCCCACCATGCATTTAAAGTTGTCAGGGGGCGGGGCACCATCCAACAGCAAGTTACCTCTCAGGCCAACCGGGTCTTTCCTGCCGGCCAGCACATCCAGCAGTCTGAAACAAACACATCTACCTGTGGCCCACATGTCATCTACCAAGTTCCCTTATCAATGTGTATATCCGACATTTCTGTCATTACATGCACACACAATCCAAAATTACAGTAATCCACAATAGATTATACAAAATAGGAATTTAGTTACTTCAGCGCAGGCATGCATATAGCTACCAGCAGCCTCCTTCACAGAGTGAGTGAGTGAGTATGGTTTTATGCCGCTTTTAGCAATATTCCAGCAATATCACGGTGGGGGGACACCAGAAATGGGCTTCACACATTGTACCCATGTGGGGAATCGAGCCCCGGGTCTTAGATGTGACAAGTGAACCATTAAGCTGCCCCATCGCCCCCCCCTCTTTCACAGAAGTTTCAGCAGGAGTATTATGTCTATACCTTACAAACCTATGGAGAAAAATGAAACACCTTACATTATATTATTAACTTATACTGGAGAAAATGACTGCTTCCACTCCCTACTGCACACAGAAGTAATGTACATGGTTTTACCTTGACTCACAAACATGGGGGCCCCAGGGACCCTCAATTATTAGTTCTAAAGGTCCTTGCAGGCAATATGAGGGCCCTGTGAAGTAAGTGTAGGGAACTATATGTTTTGATACATTCTTTAGAACCTGAAATAATTCATTGATCATATACTCTGATGGATGAAATATGCACTAACTGCTCTGAAAGAAACAACCTAACACTTAGCAGTATCATAGATGTGTTGTGGGTACAATGAATAATATTGTGCGTCCCTCTGGACTTATTGAATATTTCATCTGCGTACATTCTCAACATTTGTGCATACTGGATCCACAGTTGAATGAATATGTCACAAAGGTGGCCCTTGTGACTTTGCGGAGACATGAATGTTCTGAAATGACACATCAAAGTAATTGGCTAAAATTGTGGTAACATATGGTAAAATTGTGTGATAATCAATATTTACACTAATTAAACACCTGCTGAATATACATTAATCAAGACCTGACATGAGCACTCACGATGACTTCCCACTTCCAGTTGGTCCAAGGATAGCATTCATGCCTGGCTTGAAGATGCCACTGAAAGACAACAGTTGCAGGACATGGTTTAGGAAATCAATTTAACTTGCACGAGAAGCATATTGACATTATAACCAACGTTAACACAAAACAAAGCTGCACCCTGATCCCGTAAATATATCAAAGTTTATACACAGATGCATAACCTAGTCTAATTAGATAAAAATCACAGATCTCTGCCGTTTGATATTTAATACAGAGTGTAGTTACTGTAGTTGCTGTGCTTACTAATGTGGTAATGTTGTCCATGGCAACTGTCATATAACCTATGGTGATTATCATTTCTAATATAGAACAAACTTTATGTATAACAACTTCTTTCATTCGTGAGTGCGACGTTTCGATACAGATTCTTGTACCGTTGTCAAGCAGGAATGGAACATGAAGAAGGGGATGTATATATATACTGAAAGTAACAATGTAACAAAGAAAACAACATTGGCAAGGCTGTAAGCTGATGAAGCCAGTGAGTTAGACAAAGGACAGGCGTGGAAGCCAGTGATGTACAAATAACAATGAGATGTTTATAGTAGAGTTAATGATGCACTCCTCCACCAGGCCGAGTCTACTGTATAAACTCTACTGTGGGATGGACGGGATTCTAAAATATACAATTTTAGTTTATTTCTAATTTATTAATACCACACCAATCATTCACAACATCTAAAAGTACATAAGATCGGCTTCACGTTCTGCTAGCAGAGCAATAGGCGAATTCAGTCAGTAGAGAACACTGCAGCTGCCATCAAACTCCACAATGTTCAGTGTGAAATCATTGAATGATCAAATGAATAATATTTATCACATAAACAATTAAAAATAATGAATTCGCAATTTAACATGACGATTTCCTTTCATCATCAGATCAAGCTCATGATGCCAATCACTGATTTGTCTGGTTCAGACTTGATTTAATTTACAGACCGTAGTCATAAAGCTGGAAAATTGCTGAGTGTGGCACCTGTGAAGGATTAGAATTGATCTTGAACAGTAACCCATGCTTGTCGTAAGAGGCAACTAACTGGATCGGGTGGTCAGGCATAAAAAAAAAAAATGTTGTGGTTCTGATTACCCGACCAACCCTTGAATTCTGGTGCCGACCCTACTAGTTTTTTAAGAGGTATGAATAAAATAAGCTTTCAGCACCAACGGACATCCGTCATTCTGATAGAGAAAGTCGACATGATGGCAGCAAGCTTGATTAAATAAACAATTACACATTGATAAATGTGTTATTATTTCGTACTTTGCTTCTAAAATATGTAAAAAAAAAGAATTCCTCCCTACCTACTCAAATTTAGTAAATTTTAAAGAGGTGTAATATCGGAACCACACATATATTTTTTTTATTTGGCCTCAGGCTCGCTGACTTGGTTGACACATGTCATCGTATCCCCATTGTAGATCGATGCTCATACAGTTCATCACTGGATTCTATGATCCAGACTCGATTATTTACACTGTGTACAGACCACCGTCAACTTGAATAGTGCTGAGTGCGGCGTAAAACTAAACTCAGTCAATCAATGCTGAGTGCAGCGTTAAAAAGGAAAGAAACAAACAAAATCAACGACCACAGATATAGAATTTCTAGAAACGTTTGCGAGCTATAGAAACGAACAAGTCTATGTTTTGTTCGGGAACTAGGGCGACAACTGATATCCAGACCAAACTTACTTTAAATCTTTTAAAATAGTCTTCGTTTGTGTTCTGCCGCAGCATGCTTTCGTCTTCACTGCTACAGAGTAGAAACAGTTATGGATGGAGATGACAGAGGACTGGATGTTCTGGGAACCGCTCAGTCTGAAGCCTGCCTCGGGGTCCAGTGTTGCACTGCCGTTGTCCGTGGTTCCATACCGTACAGACACATTCCCGTCCTCCGGTGACTTGGCAATGAGGACCTCCTTTGGAACAACAGGAGTCACATTTATCCGTGTCGTTGCCGAACCTCTTTTTGTACTATCCATTGCACCGGTCGACTGGTCGTACTGATTTCGCCAAAGGCCCTATCCTGTACTGGCAGGCCACGGGTAAGCCGATTTGGTGTGTAGGGGTGTCAACACATTATATAAAACATCACATAGTACATGTATACTGCAGTCGTAATCAATGATCAGAACGACTGTTGGGACGACGACGCTTACAGGTAATACATACGTACACCACTAACTTAATTAAAATAACGCTAGAGTACGAAGTGACATACAGGTATTAACCCAACCGGAAACACAATCGATTCGTCGAAAAAGACTATTCTTCACACAGACGGGTAAATCTAAATACTGTTGGTTTCGCACGTGGCTTAGGAATCTGCAAATGTCCACCACCCACATTCCTGGCCTGCGTTACATAAATACAGTTGGGTGTGTCATAATTACATTTCGACCAGTTACTAATGTATTTATATAGCAGATATGGGTAGTACGTTAAGTTTACAATTTATCAACTTTCTTCGGGTGGTTGCACGTGCACCTCCGAGGGAATTACGCCACTGATGCGTGATGAACACCTCGTGCGGTACGTCATGAATCTGACGGCAATAATTCCACTCTCTTTCGAGCCTTTCATCATGTTGTTATAATGTTATCCCGCATTCTATTTCACTTGCCCATCCTCCCACCTTGTGATGCCATTTAGGCCTAGTTAATAGTAACATTCCATTTCGAAATTGGGGTAGCCCTCAAGAACCGCTAAACCCTTGGCACCTGTGAAGATCCGGGTAAGAATTGATCTTCATTAACCCATGCTTGTAAGAGGCGACTAACGTTATCGGATGGTCAGGCTCGCTGACTTGGTTGACATGTCATCGTATCCCAATTGTGTAGATCGATGCTCATGCTGTTGATCACTGGATTGTCTGGTCCAGACTCGATTATTTACAGACCGCCGTCATATATAGCTGGAATATTGCTGAGTGCGGCGTAAAACTAAACTCACTCACTCACTCTAAACCCTTGGTCATTATATCCACCTTTGTGCCTTTGTTATTCCTTCAGCATGACCCACCTGTCTCTGGAAGGTGGGCTCTTACTGTAATAACATGCAATAAATGCCTGGTTGAAACAGCACTAGTTCTGATGATTGTGCCACAGTCGTGTAAAATATATGAACTTGTGCACGAGTGAATGAGAGCACGTGTGTGTGTTCGTGCGTGCGTGCGCGCGTGCTTCTCTTATTGTTAACTGATTACAGCATAAAATTTAATTAAACAACAGGGTTCCCGTTTCCCACGTTGAACTTCCATGCCAGTAAACTGGCACTACTTTCGTGTGGTATTATATGGCTTCACGTTTGCAACTGTCAGTTAGGTCTATATTGAAAAAAGTTTTAAACGATTGAACGTATTAATTTTATGCAACGTTATGTATTTCTCTTTGTAAAGCGAATCAATGAGACAGGAGCAGTAATGGGGGAAGGTCAATTTTCTTCTGTGGACGGATCCACTGGGCTGTTGTACCCGTGTTGTACACTGATACCATAAACCCACTATCTGTCCTTACTGTTTGTACAGCGATAAACTCGACAGGTCGGATAATTCTCCAATAACGAGTCCTGCAGTGTTAGCTGGCACGCCTATATTTGTGCCCATATGATATATATTCCTGTTATTGGTTGCCGTTATTAAAGGTGAGGTGAAATTGAGTTTTACGTCGCGCTTGAGAATATTTAGCTCATGTGACGACGTGCATGCGTGTGTATGTGTATGTGCGGCTGCTTGTACTAGCCCAGACTTAAGCTGGTTTTATAGTGCTAGCCCACTGAGATACCATGCCGTAGTGAAGCATGAATACCCCACTCAGACACATTATACTGACTCCGAGCCGACCAGTCCTTGTTGTACCCATTAATGCCGAGCGCCAGGCAGGGACCAACAAGTACCATATTTTAACGCCTTTTGGTATGAAGTGGTCGGGGATCGAACCCGCGATCTTCCGCTCTCCGGGCGGACGCTCTAACCACTACACCACGGAGGCGGTCCCGATTCTAAAGAAACAATGTGCAATTTCAGTTATTATGTAAGTATATTTTTTTACGGCGAGATTTTGTTTCGGGGACTAAATGTGAGTCAGAGTCCACAACTCCTGGTTGGTCACATTGTTAACATTGGAGACCTTCTTGTAGGAGACATGTATAATATATGTCACCTATTTCCATAAGCTCCAGAACGCCAAGCAGTCATGATCATGGTTTATGACTTCTAAAATAGAACTGACCGACTGACTGAGTTTGGTTTTACGCCGCTTTTAGCAATATTCCAGCAACATCACGGCGGGGGACACCAGAAATGGGTTTCACATATTGTACCCATGTGGGGATTCGAACCCGGGTCTTCGGCGTGACGAGCCAACGCTTTAACCACTAGGCTACCCCACCGCCCCTCTAAAGTAGAAGAACTTTGAGGGAAACACTAGCTATTTGGTATTCCATGGACGTCCGTTATAACGAATGGCAGCATAATGGCGTTACGTGCAAGGTGACGGTGCCATGTGCTGTTTATTACGTCGCACAACTCTCATCTGCCTGCCTCAAAATCTACCGTACTTCCTCGATTAAACGCAGGCAGTTTTCATTCAAACACTACCTATTTCCAACTACCCCGATTCGCTTTGATATCGATTCAGTTATCTTCAAATGTCCAAACACTTGAGCTATACGCGCCCAGTAGTCGCAGTACAATACGGTATATGCGATAAGACACTGCACTCAGCATTCCTCGAGACCCGGGGTTTGTCATTTCTAGACTCCCCGTTCACCAGCGGATAACCAAGGGCCGGTGTTTATTGTTTCTGGACACCACGTTCACCAGCGGATAACCAAGGGCCGGTGTTTATCGTTTCTGGACACCCCGTTCATGCCAGCGGATAATAAAAGGCCGGCGTTTATCGTTTCTATAGACACCCCCTTCACCAGCGGATAATCAACGGTCGGCGTTTATCGTTTCTAGACACCCGTTCACCAGCGGACAATCAACGGTCGGCGTTTATCGTTTCTAGACACCTGGGACACAAGCATTTAATCAAGGGTCTGATTTAATGTTTTCAGAAACCCCTCATCCCGACATTTGACATTTTTAGTGTAGTTGTTTAACGCTTTGATATAGGCTTGTGTATCCGCTCTGTTGCCTTGGTAACATTTGCTCTCGTTGGCTTCATACTTTCCCAAGTCCACTAAACAGGTGCCCGTGTAGGCATATTAACGCCTTCCCCCGTACTGTTTGTTAATCTGTCCACTGATACCGCCCCAAAAAGGTATCTTCCCAGTCTCATGACTTTAAATAGGGGCGGTACCCCGGAAACGACCAAAAATATTCTCTTTTGAGCGGGTAAAGGAAAAGGATATGATTTCAACTGGTTATTGTCCTAGCTGCAGAGCGGTGTCTTTTCTTACCGGCGGCGGCTATTGATGTGACCCCTGTTTTCCATCAAGCATGACGTTGAACTATACTGGGGGTTGTACATTGTGTCGCCGTTCGAGCCAAGTTGAGGCCGCACTAGTTGTTTCCAGAAGATATTAATATACATAAGACTAAATATTTAATCTCCATCAGTTGAGGTAGGTCAAATCAGAGACCATATGGTTATTGACCTTATTACTGCAAGTTAGTTATACAAGGCAGTGACTCAGGAATGTCGTTGTATAAAGGGTTGCATAAACCGATTACCTATCAGTACAGACCGCGAAGGAACCAAACCAGATAATTCCATTTAAATTGAAAAGGAGCCCCAGGAGATTCAGAACCTAGAATGTAGACTTGCTTCATCGAGAAATTTAGCATTGTAGAAAGGGCGGAAGGGAAAATAAATGATACCATGCACGATGAAGTGAGTTCGCGGAAATGGAAGACACGACCTGGTGGCAACCCTTTCGTATCACATTTGCTCTACAAGTGTTTTAGCTGATCTTGAGTAAATGGTACACTTTATAAGTGTTACATCACGGGAAAACACATTTTAGCATCTGCACGGAGCGGTGTTATCTTTTTCAGTGGTCGATCGTCATTACGTCCTCGTGTTTGTAAACACAAAGTATGGATGGTACGGAAGGCTGTGTGCTCAACTCACATCATATCCTGGTGAATACATCGGGGCCAGGTCTTCCAGTGAATCCCGCACTGAAGTTAAATCCATGGTGATGATGTGTACGATTAAACTCTTTGCAATATGGCATATGCAGTGCGAGGAAGTCGAAACCGCCAATTCTTCTGGTCCCGAGCTATTCATATGACCACAGCGGTTACTAATGAAACCAACCATCGACAAAACACGCGCTCCAAAAATCAATATATCAGTCAAGAGCTCCCTGTGAGTTTCCCATCGAAGGGAGATAACAGTGATGTTCGACCAAATGGTTTTGTGTTTCCGAATGAAATCTGGATTATTTTAGTTTGACTCCTGTGATGTACACGTGTGTCCCCAGTCCCTGTATCACCACATAACACATTTTTACTTCTTTAGTTTTCTTTGAATTTGCCATGCACAAGAATTGATGTTATGAAATGGAGTTTGTTGGTTCTTACAACAAGCATGGGTTGTTGAAGACCCAGATCTTCATGGGTTACAATTGCTGAAGTTTTGTGAATATATCTTGGAACTACCACTATGATTCTAAAGGAGTGAGTGAGTGAATGAGTTTCCTTTTACGCCACTATTAGCAATATTCAAGCAATATTACGGCGGAAGGAGCAAATCCAACCAGTAAGCCTCTCATAGTGCGCGGCAACGGATCCCTGAAGACATTGTACGTAAGCTTCAGTAGCTATTGCAACCATAAGGGGCAGTCAACTGAAGTACATCGTAAGTGCTTGAGAATGCCTTCTGTTCGTTAACAATGGATAGAATGTTTCACAGGCTATATTGCTATTAAATTATCGAGTAACGACCGATGTACCCAAATATGGTTTAAG